GCAGTAGCAGATTTGTAGCAGCAGCAGCAGATCTGTAGTAGCAGTAGCAGCAGCAGCAGATTTGTAGCAGCAGCAGTAGCAGATTTGTAGCAGCAACAGCAGATCTGTAGTAGTAGAAGCCAAAAAGGAAGGGGAAAGTCGAAGGTGAGGTTGTGAGAATGAGTGAGGAAGAACCGCAGAAGCAAGAAGGGGAGGCCTATGAGGTGTGCTACATGAGTGAGAAAGGGAAATGAATAGGGTTAGGAAATTAGGGTTGGAAAGAGGATGATGGGTTGTGTTGAGGTGGGTTGGGTTGGGTAAAGTTTAATTTTTATTGAATTGGGTTTGGGTTTGGGTTTGGGTTTGGGTTTAATTTTAAAAATTAAATTAAATTTAAAATATAATTAATTTATATACATTTTTTACATTTTTCGCAGGGATGGGATCCCGCGGGGCTCCACAGGGCGAGGAAAATTCCCCGTGAAATTTCGCAGGGAAAAAATGTCTCCCATCCCCACCTCACGGGGAGGAATATTCCTCCCTGCCCCGTCCCTGTAATGAGATCCCCACGGGGCCCCGTGGGGATCGGGGCAAATTGCCACCCCCTAATCACAGGACGATCAACAAACCTAATCACAATATTTCTAAATTAATATCTATAAGGAAATTTTATTTCTTTATTTATTTTTTTATTTTTCTCCTATCCGAAATTTGAGCACACAATAGTAGATTGCACATATATATATATATATACATAGCTACACATATACAATTTTTCCAAATTCATGGATAGGAAATGGGAGAACCGGTTTTGACAAAAATGGGCAAGTCACGGAATTTTCCTCTTTTTCTTTCATACAACATCACAGCAGCTCAATTAAAGGATTTCCTACATAATTAGACTTAAAAACTCATTTCATGGCTGCCAAATTTCATCCCCCACTTCCAGCAGATTTTCGGACAACCCAAGCACCCATACAACCAATTAAGCTCAACAAGGTAGTAATTAATCAACCAATTTTTCAAAAATTAGAGAAGCCAACCTACCAGAAATCCTCAGCAAGCAAGGCTGGAGCTGGCGATTGAAGAATAGAAACAAAGCTATGGGCACTACCTTTCGAAGGTTGCCGAGAATAATAGGTTGAAAGGAATTGATCGATTGAAGAACAGAAACAAAGGCAGTGAGCTACAGCATAGAAGAGAGGAGACTGGAGTCTGGAGAAGAGAAAATCTCAGAAATTTGAAATAGTCCTTCTAGTTCTAGAGTTACTAGTAAATTGGGTTGGGTTTGGGCAATTAAGTTTAAGAAGATTATGAGTTGGACTGGACTATATAATTGGGTTTGGAAAAACTGAAAAAAAAAAAAAAAGGATTGGTCAATTAATTAGGTTGAGTAAGTAAAAATTAATTGTTGATAAATTTAAAAAAATATATAAATAAATTTATTTTTTTTTTATTTTATATGGGTCTTCACGACTCCCCATAGGACGTAGAAAATTTTCCACAAAATTTTACGGGAAAAAAAATGCCTCCATGCCCGCCTCACGAGGAGAAACATTCTTAAAATCTCCATCCACGTGATGGAGAAATCCATGAAATTATGCGGGTGGCGAAGAAAATTGTCATTCCTAGGTCAGCCTAGTAACTGATTAGTTGTAAAAGTCTAGCGCAAATGGGGGATTTCTCCACTAGAATTCATTCCATTAAAGAGGTAAATACAATTTTCCTTGACAGAAGTCAACAGGCTTGCCCCTCTCATGAACTTTCTTAGCGCAACTCTACATTAATTTCTAGAGCAATCAAGCTATTTGGTAGCACAATCTCCAGATTAGAGCTTTCAAACTTGCTATCACTTTAGACATCTAAGTTGCTTTAATTTGAGCTCTTTTATTTTATTTTATTTTTCACAAATTGCATCTACTTGTGGTTCTTTGAGTATTTGGAAGTGACTTTATTAGCTTTCTCTTTTCTTTTTTTTTCCTTTTTTTATTTATGGCTGAATCGTCTTCAAATTAATTTTCATACACTTCAAAATTAATTTTTTTTAAATAATCTTAAAAATGCACCTCTCACATCGGTTTAGTATATTTAAAAAATTAATTTTTTTAAATGTTAGCCATAAGACTTGAACTTTAAATCTAACTTATAAGACAACATATGCTATCTAATCCTTGGGGTTAATTAGCTTTTTTGTTCGGTCTGTTCCCGCTTGAATGGTCGGTGGTTTATAATGAATTACACTTCTTCAAAGTATTTTCTTGCTTCCTTCATTGATTTGTCAGTCATCAATTCAATTCTTGTGATCTAATTACTTTTAACGCCTATATAGGTTGTTTTAACTTAACAAATTAGTAGGTAGTTTAGTATTGTTATTTAATTAGTTTAATTTAATATTAGTTTACTTCGACCTAAATAACTCAATCAAAAGTCCCCTTTTTCTTTTTTAAACTTGGTAGTTTCTCAGACTTTTAAATCAGAAATTTTATAGCTTTATTTGTTAACTAGTTAAATTAGTTTGTTAATCAATTAAGTCACGTTAGCTCTATGAGTAATTGAGTTAATTTATTAGAATTTAGGTCTAGTCTGCAGTATCTTAGATTTGGTCTTAAATGTAAGAATAGCTTTTGCTCTGCGAATTTATTTTGAATGCATTTTCATTCCATATCTTTTTTTCCTTGGTAGTAGTTCACAGTTGGTTTTTGTTCAGCAATTTTTTTTTTTT